TCACCTTCCTTGTCGGATGGATGACCTTTCTCCGAGACATGGACGCAGAGAATCTTGTGTTGATTTTCGAGCTGATGACAGATCTCCAGTCGTATGTTGATGGGAGTACCCATCAAAGTACTTTATGCTAACGCGACTCCAGACGAGCAAATAGCGCATTGCAGCATCCTACCAAAGGCATTCTGATGCTTCCCACCATCATGTATTATGCAAAGGTATTCGCAAGAGTAGCGATTGGATTAGAGAAGAGACCGGACTTGACGATGCATCTCATCACCACCGACGCGGATGAGGACGGCCAAAGCGAGTCATTGCCAGAGAGAGCGGCGAATATCGTACGACAGGCCTTCATCATATGTCTCAACGACCGCAACACTGTACCCGGAGGTATCAAGGACGGTAAGCCTGACGGGAAGAAGGTTGGAATCTACAAGATGGCAAACATATGTTTGAAGACCCTCTTCCAGGCCGATAAGCTGGGGAGCTGCGAGACCATCTTCAACAACATATCGAACTCCTCACCACCATTACACATCTACCCGGCTGCGGAGCGCATTACCTTCCTTTACTACCTCGGGCGGTACCACTTCAGCAACACGAACTTCTACGGAGCTCAGCTCGTTCTGGAGCTAGCATACAGAGGTTGCCACGGGCAGTGTCCAAAGCAACGCCGCTTAATCGCAGTCTGCCTTGTCGCTGCCAACATACTCCTCGGTCGTTTCCCAAACGAACTCATCTACAACGACCCTGCATGCGTGGGCTTCCGGGAAGTGTTCGAACCGCTGTGTCGTGCGATTCGTAGGGGAGACCTCGAAACGTTCCGTCGGATAACGAACCTGGATCTTTCCCACCCAAGTGCCGAATTCATGATCAAATACCGTGTTTTCTACCCAATCGGGAACTATTGCGAGCCCCTCGTATGGTGGTCACTCCTCCGCAAGGTATTCATCCTTACTGGAAGCATAGGGGAAGCATCGAAGTCGGCTGCTTTGCTCGACCTCAACGCGGCTGTCCTTGTATTTCGCTTCCTAGAAGCGCGCTCGCTCATCAAAAATGCCGCAATGGCCGCGCAAGACCGTGGTCCAGGTCGTCGCAACTTTGGTCACATCTACCAGGATCATGCATCAACAAGCAAATCGACATACATCGACCCGGACTTTATCGGCATGGAAGGGGTGCAGCCGTATACTCACGAGTATGACTTGCTGGAGTTGGAGTGTATATGCGGTAGTCTCATCACCCAAGGCTATTTGAATGCGTACATTGCGCAGGCGAAGCAGAAGTTGGCCATCCAAGGTGTGAAGACGGGTAACCTGAGCGCTGGATTCATCAACCCGTGGGAAGTCAACAAGGAGAGGAACAAGGACGAGGTGCTCGGATGGAAGAAAGAGGCTGGAGGCGATGGAGGACAGGTTGTCAGGCTGTCGTCCGCGGCACCGGCTGGGATGTAGAGGATGGTTGCGCATGATACCCCGATACTGGGATCGGATAGGAATACATGCCAGTAAGACTCCATACGTTGTTTGCGCTAATATTCCGGATGAAAGCCCAGCCAAGAAGTCCCCAACGCCGATGTTCTTGCGTTATCTGTAAGGCACGAACCAATCCAACGGTCGTACCGCCAGCACCATTATTGCCCACCCATCACCAAAGCGTCAGCAAACTACGATGACCGTGTTGCTTCGAGCCCTCTTGTATTGTACTCTTTTCCCTCGTCGTGGTCTCGGATGATCTACAGTAGAATCGCTGTCATCTGTGTGCTGTCAGCACCGCGTCAACGAAGTGTACTGCGTATACTCACTATAGAAATGCCTTCTCGACAAGCCCATGCCTCGACGTCTGGCGAGCCAAGTTTTGAACGCGAACCCAACGCAAGGGATGAGCACGACGATCAAAATACCGAGCAAACCAAAGAGCGCTTCCTTAGACCATTGAGGGCTGGTGATAGATTCGTCTGGAGGAGTTGCGTTGGGGGAGACGGCTGTGTGTGATTAGGACTACGAGGTCTGAGGTTGACCAAGCAACATACTATTTGAGGGTATTGCCGGCATTTGCATTGGAATGGGAGATAAGTTGTCGCCCTAGGGAAGACGATGCCTCTGTAACCAAGGCGGAGCATCCCTTTAGGCTTCCAGTCGACTTCCGAGGCCTGTAGTCTAACCTTTTCTTAAATGGGATCAAAGTGGAATGATTACATGCAATAAAGTATAGAGCAACGAAGAGTACTTAAAAGTAAGTAAGTTTGGAAAGGTATTGGAGTAACAGTCGTAGTGATGTTAGATGAGATGTTTCCCTCGAAAAACCAGCAGGAAAGGTGGAGGGGATTAAGTAGCACTTGGAAGGGTCGAAGGGGCAGTCGCGTCGACGCGCCCAATGGCACGTCTCGAGGTGGCAACGTATATGAGTGCCAAGGAATTTCATGGTCAGAGCCCAGATGCGGAAAGGCTGTTAGAGGTGGCGCAGCAATGCCTTCGTCTTGGGGCGAATGAAAATGAACGGGCGGAACTACTCAAGCTAAGTAGCATTACGAGAACAAGTACATGGGGTCTTCTATTGAGGAACAACAAGACCATGCAGATGCGCCGCCTGCCAGCGACAGACGCTGCAGTCGTCCTGATCTGTGCATGATGTCATGGCTGTGATTTGTAGATATATTCAGATAACTTGGCCCGAGCAACCTTGGAAGCACCTTCCCATCACTGCAGCTCCCAGCGACAACAACATTTGCTACGCTGTAGCGCAAACGTCTCTCAGTTGCGAAATCAATGTCCCATCGCCAGCCGTTTCCACAAAGCCGCGATCAAACGCCTTGACCCGTGACGAGCATCCGCGCATATGCCATATCCATCTTCTATTGATCAGCAGTCCAACTTGTATAGTAAAGCGAAGCATGGAAAATAATACCACAGAGGAAGAGCAGGACACCAATCGCCTGCTGTTTCGCGAACCGACCCCTGTCGAGCAGTTCAACGACCCCGCTTTCATGAATAGAAACGCCGACGATGAGGAGCCAAGTTTTGGGGGCCACGGCACTTTGGAGATTCTACAGGTTATAAAGCTACTAGAGGGAACTGGAATTGCCTGCTGTCTCGTTGGTATTTCCGCTCTGATATACTACGGCGCTGGAAGGGTACGCAGGGTAAGTTCAAAGTGACACCCCGTTCTCTATATTGTCTCAATCCTTGGACTGCTGACCTGAACTACTAGGACTGGGAGGTGTGCGTGCCTACAGAAAAGCTCAGAGATGCGTCCGCACTTCTGAACTCAGTCAACACCTACGAAACCTATCCACCCCGCCCACCCGGTATGCAATCATTACTCCACACTTTCCCACGCTTCAAAATCGTAGGCCAAGCACTGTGCTTTACCTTGATCCCCTCGGACGACGCGCATATCGATTGCATACCTGCCAACATCGAGCGTAGCCAAATGGATCTGCCTTACCCGACTCTAGAGGTGTTCGCACAGAGTCTTCTCGACACCAACGACATGGTCGCACTCACGGACCTCATAGACGGCATGAATCTGACTGAACAATGGGGTTTAGATCATCTGAAACTTGATGGCGAGAATGATTTAGCTTGGGTATTGCGAAAGAACGAAAAGATTCGAGCTTCAGTTCCACTCACCTTCACCTCATGTCTCCGGGAACTTGCAATTAAACCCATCAACCTGAAAGAGACTTGGATTGACATTGTCCGAACCAAAGAGCGTCGTATTGGGGAGGAATTGGCAGGGGCAGATTTGGCCACGCGGTTCCGTGGTCGGGCATCTCCGGATCCGAGGACCAGAGAGAGGAACTGCTCATAAGGTAGTAGTTCCTTCGCGGCTAAGTTTGGTGTGTTAGATGCGGAAAAGCCCTGGGCGCCCTGACACCCTTCAGCAAACGAGGACGATGGTATTGCCTCGACTTCTTTTCAATCTCCACTGTCTTCTTAGCGATGATCCCCTGGTCGCCGCATGAAGATGTTTGGTATCTATGTCACTTCTTCTTAGTCGTGCCCGATGTCGACGCCACTGAGCCACAAAACTTTGCAAAGTACTCGTTCAGATGTAAGCTTCATACGCTTGTGTATGCATATCTTTAGTATGAGCCCAAGGAAAGGCAATAGTACCATCACGACTATGCCGAGTAAAGCAAAGATTGCTTCTTTCGACCATTGCGAGTCAGGTGCGTTTGGTATCGCAGGACTCTTTGGGGACGAAATCAGCGGTGCTAGACGATGATGTTAGTATCTATCATGCACTGAGTCTGCACAGGATGAAATACAAGCTGTTGGCTGGGGAGGCATGACTCTTGATGATATTGGCCTGCGGTCAAACTCTCCTGCTTCGAGATATGCTAGAGCCACAACTGGTGATCAAACTGGTGCAGTCGATGAAAGCGAACACGAGAAGAGGAAGACGGCGATGCGAAGCGAGCTCAGAAGATCTCCAGTACGGGTGGCAGTGAGTTGGTACAGAGCCTGAAGTTGCTGGAGGTTTTAGTCTTATATGGGCTATACGGTGCTGCGCGCGAGGCCGCACGATACAATCACTTGTACGGCAATCGACAATTCTTGCATCGCCGGATCAGGCGGTGTCGAGGACATGAATTCGGATAAATCGGCACTCGGTCGTAGTCGGACACTAATGCAGTGCAACGGGCAGTGCAAGCGACCTACCCCACCCCCGACCTCTACTTAGCCTTTTGGAGTCTAGATATCTTATTGTACGTGTTATAATGCTTGTGAAGGTCATGTACTTACAGTATCGTTTGAAAGGGCTTCACAGACCTCATTGGCTTCTGAAAACTAAAACCCGCGACACGGCAGTAGGCGAACCGCTAGTGCGGGAACCCCGGGTAGCAATAAGTTGATTTGTTCGAGTTCAGGCTTGCGGCACCGTAATCGCGCGATGAAGACTGGAAGAGTATGTTTGTCGGGCCAAAGAACCGAAGAAGATCAACTCTACAAGGTCCATTTCGTATGATCTATCTTACACCACCGCTTGTTGTCCGTCTATTGCCCAACGTTGGTGAAGCGCAGGTACTTCTTGACCTCCCTGACATCGCCAAACTTCTTCCTGGCATCCTCAGTGCTGACGCTGGGTGGCACGATGACGTCTTGGCCCTTCTGCCAGTCAATGGGTGTAGCGATGCCCTTCTTGTCTCCTGTCTGCAAGCTGTCGATGACTCTCAGTACCTCGGCGGTGTTCCTGCCGGTGCTCGCGGGGTATGACATTGTAAGACGGATCTTCTTCGCTGGATCGATGATGAATACCGAGCGGATGGTGAAGGCAATGCCGCCGTTCTTCTGGAGCGCGTCGAGGTCGTCTTGCGAGATCATATCGTAGAGGAAAGCGACGTGGCGATCGGCATCGGCGATGATGGGGAACTGCACGGTGGTGTTGGACGTCTCGTTGATGTCGGCAATCCACTGGTCGTGGGAGCTCAAGTCGTTGGCGCTCTATAGCAAGGTCAGTAGGCTGATCTTGATCCGTCAATGAGCCGATAGAAGCGTACCAAGCCAATCATCTGGACGCCTCGCGCATCGAATTCATCCTTGAGCTTCGCAAAGGCTCCAAGCTCAGTCGTACACACGGGTGTGAAGTCGGCAGGGTGGCTGAAGAGGATAGTCCACTTGTTGTCTAAGAACTTGTGGAAGTCCTACTTGAAGTAAGCATGCGTTGCGCAGCATTCGTCGGAGAAGCTTACCATGTCGCCATGGGTGGTCTTCGCCTGGAAGTTAGGCGCTGCGCGTAGTCAGTACCGTTGATCTGAGATATACTCCAAACACTACATACCAATGGATCCCAGCCTCAGTCGTGGCTGCTCAGTTGGAAGCGCGATCCCGCGACGGAGTAGCGGGGCAGCAGGACGCTGTACCCGCAGGGCAGGACGCGCCGAAGCGCGAAGAGCTCGAGAAGCTGCACGAGGGAAGAATGAAGCCATTGTAAGGTTTTCAGAATACGATCAGGTATCTAAGATGTGTTCTGGAGCTTTAGAGGGTAGCTCGCGGCAGCAACGTCGATTAGTAAAACGGGGACTTTTCGACATGGCGTCATGTCGAATCAAAAAGCCCCGCCGGTCCGAAATCGGCCGTCTCTACCTCTTCGTGCAGTTCCATCACTACCGAAGTATTCTGTCGCGGGTCTATAGCAAGCATATGGAGTTGTACGAGTTGATGTCGCGCTTGGTCAGTAACGATGCTGCCACGCGTATGCCACGCGACATATCCAGCATGACGTCAGCGTGCGTGCATTAGCACCAGCGAAGCCACCGACCATATCTCACACCTTTCCATCTACTTTCCCATCCTTGATGGTTATGTCCAACTCATCCTCTGAAGCCAGCATGATTGGAACAGTGAAACCCTTCCACAAACGGGCGGGAACCCTGTCACCTTCTGCCTCTTCCTTCTCCAGCTCACCACACCACCATGTGCAACCCTTTGGACGCATCCGAACTATATATCGGCCATTCTCAAGGCTTCGGAGCGTGCGTCCAATATCGAATGAATTGACTAATGGGATTCCAGGTTTCAAAGTGACCAACTCATCCATCTTGGCTCTCAGGTCGGTTTTCGCATGCCGCAATTGGCAGATGCTGGTCTGTTGCCTGTGCATCATTTTACCAGTCGCGGCATTGACGATGAGAAAACTTGATGTGGGCAGACGATTCAGCTCTGACTGATCAATGATCCTGCGGCGACCGTCGAGGGTATTCGTTTCGGTAGCCGAAGGACCCCATGGGACGAGGAACTTCTGCAGGCCCCGTGACTGTACGGTCACAGTCTCGGAGCCACTGTTAACGACAGTGATTTCCAACGATATACCATTGACGAGACACATGCTCGTCACTAGTCGCGGTGGAAACTTTAGGTCATCGACGACCTTGAAAGCTGCATTACCGTGGCGCCAGCTGTTGACTAGTCTCACTTCCTCGCCATCTCCGTCGCTGTCGGCAAAATCCTCTTGGTTACTGTATGTCCATTTCTTGACTCCAAGGTCGTGACTTGCGAGTCTTATTTTGTATCTTTCCCGGCTTCAAAACTGACGCTAACACGCTCTGGAGATCAATAGCGCATAGATATACCGTGATATCATGTCTCCAGCTCTTTGTTCGATGAACCCGGGACGGAACTGAAATGCAACCTCGATTGTTCGCATCAACCTCTCCAAGCGAGCTTACATCCACTTCAACCCATTGCCTAGCTTCCCCGGGGCGTTCTTCATACAGGGTTAGCAGGCCATGCGCCAGTGCGTAAGGCACATCGAAGACTGAACCGACCGTGTCAATAAGTATTGATCGAGGGTCTGTATCAGACTTTTGTAACCGACAAATACCAAACACTACACTGAATGGTAGCTCCCCTGATGCGTCGAAGACGTTGTAGCAGCTGTGGAGCTGAACGTGAATCGGAGATTTTATCATTGCGGTTCGTATGTGAGAAGAGCAGAAGAGCCTGTGGATACACCGGGAAGTAAGAGTGAAGGGCGTTCGTGAAGATGAGTCATCTTGCAGGTCTCACTGGCGTTTCTATAGGCCTTGAGCATAAGCACGATACAAACACTCGTTGTTGCCTGCCGTCGCGGACATGCCACGCGAGTGCCCCACTCCGGATCTCAAACATGACGTCATCCCGCGTTGTCAAAGCCCGAGCTCCTCATGAAACTTGGTCGCATGTGGCTGGGGATCAGGGCCACGCGCATCGGGAGAAACAAGAAACGAAAAGCCGTTGAAGACCCGTCCCGCATATTGAAGACCGTTTTGTTCGCCCTCAATCCGTCTTCGGCAGAGCCTGCCTAGCTACACTCGCTTCCCCATCGCCCAATATGTCCATAACGTCCTTCGACAACAAGCCCGGAACAGGCGGCTTCTTGAAATTCAACTCCGGCCCGCCGCGCATTTATCTCACCTGCGCTCTACCAGCCCCAGAGAAAGCGCTGCTATCCTGGCGCGAAGAAGGCTACGATGCGCAACACCTGCCTTACGATACCAACACGCAAAACCAAACAGCCTACATCCGGTCCCTCAAAGAACTATCTATAAATTTGAACCTGGGCGAGAACTACGCGATTATAGCTTATGGCGACGCAGCGAGCGTTGTCTTGAAAACAGCACAGAAACCGTTAGCGAAATGCTGCGCCATCATAGCATTTTACCCCAGCGTGTTACCGAGCCCGAAGACCATGTACCCGAACTCGCATCAGTTGCAAGTCCACGTAGCGGGGCTCAGCCAGTCTAGCCCAAGACCAGATATGTGCGAGTGGAAGCTGTATCGGTACGAGAAGTGTGCCACGGGATTTGCGGACCCATCGTCGCGAGCGTATTCAGAGGTGGAGGCGAACCTGGCATGGACAAGAGCGCTAGCATGTATACGGAAAGGATTTGGGAAGAACGTGGATCTTGAACCTATTGCGCTGAGCCACTGGAATGCGAGGTTTGAGGACGACGACCCAGATCGCGCGAGTATGAGTGTGGTGAAGAACATGACGCAGGATAGCCCGCATGTCACGATTTTGCCAACTATGCAGGGAGGTGTGGGAAGGAAGAAGCTTGCGGAGTTTTACGGAGAGTTCTTCGTACCTAGTTTGGTTGATGACTTTTCCATACGATTGGTCTCGAGGACTATGGGTGTTAATCGTATAGTGGACGAGATGGTGGTGTCTTTTACACATTCGGACGAGGTTGACTGGGTGCTGCCAGGCGTGCCGCCAACGAACAAGCGAGTGGAGATACCCATGGTCAGTATCGTGGCGGTAAGAGGAGACAAGCTGGTTTCAGAGCATATGTATTGGGATCAAGCTTCTGTTCTTGTGCAAGTCGGTTTGCTGGATCCCAGGATGGTTCCGAAGAAGTTGAAGAATGATGGATTGAAGGCGATGCCTGTCGTAGGGGTGGAGGCAGCAAAGCAGTTGGTTGAACCGCAACAGAACCGATATAACAAGCTGCTACAGATGCACGGTCTCATGGACGGTTTGAATGGCAACTAGAGATTATCGCATCTTATTTTCAGCGCGGTGTTCCGGAGTAAGGCTTGGAAGAATCGCTTCATCGAGCCTGGAAAGTCTCCGTAGTCGCTTGATAGATTCTCCAATACTGTTCATCATCAAATCCATCTCCAGATCAATTCTTGGAATTATCTGTTCTCAACCGATGAAACTGCATGTCGGCAGCTTGTACTCATTGAGTACCCAGTACTTCCGCCTCACACCCTCCCATTCACCCTTATCATCCAAGTTCGGTACAGGGACCGTTTCCCATTCTGTGTCGAAACCAGCCTCGAAGAGATCGAATTCAACGATCTTGTTGTAAACATCGTAGACAATCTGGCGATCTGCTCCCATGCCGTTGAAGAAGCCAAATTTGCCTCCCTCGCCATCGGAACCACCAGCAGGATCGAGGAGCCCGATGACATGTTCGGTGAAGAATTCGCGCAGTGCTTTGTATTCTTCGGCGAAGGTGTCAAAGTAGATCGCGTCGAACAGCTCGCCCTTTTCAACAAGACCCGGTACAATGTCCTGCCAGCGGCCCTCGTGGATGACGACGCCCGGCTTCTCGTGCCACCCCTGCTCTTTCATGCGCTTGATGACATCTGGGTGCGCCTCGATGATGTGATGAGCCTTTGGCTTCTTCTCCTGGAAGATACCATCGATGATGCCCATGCCATGGCCAACGTTCAGAACGCGAAGCCCTTCTGTCGGTACCAGTAGTTCCGCAGATCTGCGCATAAGCGTTGTCTCCCACTCCATCATGACTCCATTCGAGGAATCGTCCAGTAATCGGTCGCGGTCGAATGTGAGCTTGGAAGAGAGGTAATTTGGGTTCTCAGTTGACTCGTCGCCTTGCGCTTCTTCCTGACTGATGTCCACTACCTCGACGTCTTCAGCCACCTCTTCAACCTTATCTTCCTCCTCGTCCTCTTCCTCTTCTTCTGAATCATCGTCTCCCAGAAGTTGGTATTGCTCCATGCGACTCAGCAGCATCTCTGCGCGCACGCCTGCGTCGACACAGAGCTCGTATAATTCCTTCAGGCCCAATCGATGCGCGATGCATCCTGGTGTTTCGCCATTTGAATCCAAGTCGTTCCATATCGCACCGTTCTCGAACAGGAATTTGATGGTCTTTACAGCGCTGTCCATTTCGTTCTTCGTATTATCCGCCCCATTTGCTGCTTCCCCATTTGTGTCTCCGTTGACTCGTTTTGCGTCATCTTCGTCGGGCTCACAGGCAGCGATTGCGGCATGCAGAGGCGTAAAACCAGTCTCGGAATCTTGGACGTTCGCGGAAGAGTTGCGCAGAAGGTTGCGGAGGGAGGCGGTGTCGTGGTTTGCGGCGGCGAGCAAGATGCTTTGCGTCTGCAGATCAGTCTGCGTATCGAATTCCGGGTCGTCCATGATTATTTCAGTAGTGTTGGTGTTGTGTTCGCAAAGTATCTGGAGGGGCAGTTGAGGGGCCTGGAAATTTACTGAACGCGAGTCATGCAGGGTCCAGCTGGTGGATGTCGCGGTGTCAGTGATCTCAAGGCCAAAGCGACACAGAATTGCCTGAATGTGAGTACACTCAAATAATCTTGCAACACACACTCAAGCTCGGATACCCCACTATCAAGTAGTGCGCTATGCATTCCCAACAATTGGCACTACACCCTCCTCTACAACTCATCGATAACACTTGAGTCCAACATCTTCTCCAGCTCCTCCCTCGGAGTGATC